CCCCCCCCCCCCCCCCCCCCCTTCGCGCTTGGTGATGTGACAGCCTGGTCCGTGGAAAACCCGGCATATCGCTCCGCCCCGGCTTTGTAGGGATGCCAGGTCAATGGCCTAACGACTTCGGGATGCACGGCTATCAGTACACCCCCCTCCCCCCAGTTGTAGCCAAGACGATAGCAACCCCCGACATCCGACTACTCACTCCGGTAGGTTTGCGAAGAGGCCGGCCAGCGGTTTCCAAGCCACCAGGGCCGCCAAGGCCTGAACGACGGACGCGAATTCCCCCATCGCGGCCATCGGGTCCGCTCGGGAAGATAGTTCCGCCGCGTCGTTCACCAACGACAGCAGCAGCTGGGGCATAAAGGGGGAGGGGGAGGGGGCGGGGGTGTACTAATGTAAACGCATGCCGTAGTCGTTAGACCATTGACCTCGCATCGCCATAGTGCCGGGACGGAACGATATGCAGGCCGAGGCTAGGTTTCGCAAGGAGGAACCAGAAGCTGGTCATCATCCTTGCGTGTGCTGTGCCAAACCGGAAGGGGGGAGGGGGGAGGCTACAACAATAATGGAAGATGAAAATATCGAGGGGGGAGGGGGGAGTGGGGTCAAGGTTGGATTGCGGGGCAGACCGCAAATACATCGACAAAGGGGCGGGAGAGAGCACAAGGGGCAGAGGAGAGCTCGGGAGGCCGCGCCCTGGCGAGCGCCAGGTGTGGCGAGCGGTAAGTAATCCGTACTTGACTTGACGTCGGCACAGCACATCCACAATTGTCTACTGCCGTACGGGTACGGCTGCGGCTAGCGTGCAAGTCAAACCGACCGCACCGCAGCGTTCGGTACAGGTATGGGTGTGCTACCGATCGCATACAGGCGTCGTGTGTCAGACAAGAACCCAACAAGATAGCACTCCCGTGTGTGCCGTATACAACACAACCCCTTTTGCCATCGTACAACACACACGTGCGGCACACCAGAACGCGCGTCGGTTTGTTGATACAACGGCAGCACTGTCAGCACGCTGTCTTGAATCCCTTTCCTCACCCCGCTGAACAAGTTCCCAACGACAGGACCAGGTGCCCAGTAGAGCCCGACGTTCTATACTTTGTGGGCATTACATAGTTCTCGCGCGTGGGCATGGGAGCCTTACCGGCTGGAAGAGCTCTTCGAGGGTGACTCCTCCGCTGTCCCCAGCCGCGTCGCCACTGGTGCTTCGAATGAAGTCGTCCAGAAGTCCCTGTTGAAGTACAGAGCCCACACGTCACATCGAGGGGGCCAATTCGACAGTGGGCGGGAACACACAGGAGTAATTTCTCTCCCCAACATCGAGACAGCCGTGAAACAGCGGGGTCAACAGGTAGCCAATAGTCAAATTAATCACCAAAGACGTAAGAAAAACATACACGCGACACGGGATTACGGTGAAAAAAAAAAAAAAACGGCCCGCGTCCGAGAAACAGCACCAACAAGCGTACCCGTGCGCAGCGCAATCGCTGGCCGCAACAAAAATATCGTGGTTTGAGGAAGTGTTTCTGTGTTCATGTATACTTTCTAAAAAAGACCGCGCACGATCGCGCACGACCGCCAGATCCGCCGATCCAACCAACCAAGACGAACGCCCTATGTATCCCTTCCGTCACCTGTGGCAGAGCCGCGGCCCCTTTCCTCCGGAAGAGATTCTTGAGCTCTGCGATGGGGCCACCTCCGGGCGAGTAGTCGTCCTGCGCAGCAACACGGAGGCGCATACGTCGAGACTGATCCATTTGCATTGGTCAGCCGGTTAGCGCGGTCGATTCCAGAAATGAACCTACACACATCGCATGCGCGTGGGCGCACGAGCACACACACGGGGTCCCACCTCCGGATCATGGCCTCCACTAAGAGTTTTCTGTTGTCAGTTGCATTGAGACTGACGCCTCCTGATTGGTCAGCCGGTTAGCAGAGTCAAAGCTAACAGTAACACACGCGCGCACACACAAGCCAGCACCGTCGGCAGTGAGCACAACAAGAGGCAGGATTTTTTCGCCGCCGGCGGGCACTCTCAGGTGAAAGATTGGCGAAAAAACAGTAGGCATACACGTCGCTCAACGACCGGACCCCACCACACTAGTGGCAAAAAGGATCAGGCCGGTCGAACGAACAAACTCACAGAAGACGCGTTTATGGACTCCGTTCCGTGAAGGGGCCGCACAAAGCATGGATCCACGACATCCTCACGCGAGGAAGCCGGAATTTCGGGGCGTTTGTCTTGTTTCCCGAAGCGGATGGGCTACTACCTCGCTTGAAATGACGCTCGACTCGTTACGCTTCCGATTTCTTAATATTATTGCTGCCGTTTCCCTTCAAACAAGCCCAGAGCCGGCGCATCGTGTAGATAAAAATCACAACCAACGTTGCAGCACACGCGTGGGACGGAAGCGATTGAACACTGCGCAGAGGAATACACTACGTAGGGCTTTGGTGAGCATCAATCAACTCCCCCTGCGGCGATCAAAACTCACCTCGTCGCCCCACATGTCGGGATTTTGTATGGTGAGGATGGCGTACGTGACGAGAACACCTCGCAGGTGCCGCACGGCGGAGTTCCTCAACGCCCCCACGGACGCACCCTTGTGACGGGGAGCTGGGCCCTTACCCGCCTGCACCGCCCTGCCAAAGAAAATCCGCGGAGGTTGAGGTGGTGGTTCACGCGGCGAGATTTTCGCCCCCCTCAACCACGGAGAACTGACTAGCTCGCGGCAAGTTCGATGTAGCGTAGGTGACACGAGATCTCTCACCCCCTAGACCGATTTCCAAAAAGGGTCGAATATTCCACGATGAAGAGGACGCCAAAATGAAACGAATACGTTGTCGGAAAGCTCTCGACGGGACGGTTTCAACGCCACCGGTTTCAGCACTGCAATTCTTCCTGCTGTGGAGAAATCGAGCTCGGCCCAAGATGTCCAATATATCTTATGCCACCTAGGGTAACCACTCCGGGGGGTCAATGAAATGTCTGCGGCCGGCCGGTTGTAAGGGAAAGCCTCCTCTACGGCCGAGTCTCGATGTGCGCATCACGCATGAACCTCTCGCTTGCTACACGACACCCTGCTGTGATCTACGCATACGACAACTTTTCGTCGTGCATCGCAGCGGTGCTGCTAGGTCGTGCGACCCGAGCAAGAGAGGATGCACAGCAAAAGGGGTTAGCACCGATCATGATGGCCGTTTGTCGCGAATACTTGGAGCCAGATGTCCTCGAAAAGCGAAACTCGAGCCAGCGTGCACGAACCTAACCAAACAGACGCCAATGCACCGAGGGCAGGCGGTCTCCCTACACGCGATCACAAAATGCAACCAACAGTTGAAAAAGCGCAATATTTTCCTCCCAAAACTCAGGGTGAGATTGCTGTCGTACCGAAACTATCTGCCGTTTTCGACGCAATGTCTTTCCCCCAACCGAGGACGTTAGGTCAAAAGTCTAACCGCTGAGGCATGAGCACGCCCCCCCCCCCCCCCCCCCCCCCCCCCCCCCCCCCCCCCCCCCCCNCCCCCCCCCCCCCCCCCCCCTCGTCCGCTGCCCTCTTCAAGAATTTCCGCAGCTATAGGTGGGTGTGTTTGGGGGGGGGAAGATGCACTCCTTTATGCACTTGCCCATTGTCCGATGCTCAAGAACTCCCCCCCCTGTTGCCTCGTTGCGCGCTCCTCCTGTAGTTGTTCCGGAGAGTAAAACAGTACAAGTAGTTACCTTTCGTAGCAGCCAATCATGTAAGCGAGGGGCGACGCCCTAGAGGAGGAAGCGGAGGCCGGGGCGGCGGCGCCGTCTTCCACGCCACCGATGTCGGCAAGGCTGGTGCCGTCGTTGAGCCTCGAAAGGAGGAGGCGCTCGAAGAAACTCCTAGAGTCCAAGCTCCTGCGCGTCGTATTGTGTTGTTGTATTATAAAGCTTGTCGTCGACAAGAGGTTCGTTGAGCGACATGTCGGTTTGTCAAGCATGCTGTCGACAAGCAGGGGGCGTTAAGCGACACTCGAGGTTGAAACCACCCAAAAAGCACGACGAACGAACGCTTCACGCAGAACAAAACATTTGGCCCCAGGAAACAGTCGCGATTCTTGACGGCCGTGAGAGGAAGGGCGAGCGGTTCACAAGTTGGGCTTGGAGACAAAGGCAGCCTTGCCCGCTGGCGTCCGTTTCCGCGACTCAGATTTCCTAAATTCCGCCGCTGGGTCGAATCATGAGCGCTCGCCTACAGCGAGGGGGCGGCGGGGGCACGAACACAAAACTAACGCCACGAATTCACTACCACATTATCCTAGACCCATATCTGTGCACACAGATTGGTTTATCGTGTTGTCTTGAGAAAAAAAAAAAAAAACGTACCAACCGCCCTCCCTCTCCTCCTCGCGGAGCTCCCTCTCCAGGCTCCCCAGGTGCAGCACTCGCTTCGCCCGGGCCACCGCCGGGTCCAGGCTGAACCTCAGCGTGTCCGCTAGAAGCACCTCCTCCCACCGACACAGAAGCGCCGTCGACGCCGCTGCCGCCGCCACAGCCGGAGCAGGGGTCGGCAGAGAAGTCTGAGAGGCTTCGCCCGGAGAGGAGGCTGCTGCGACCATATCGACCGACCTGGTACTGAACACAAGGGGCGGAAGGATGTGGGCGATGGCATATTTCCGCCGCTTGCTTGGTGTGTGAGTAGTAGCCCAACCACTTATCGTTGAAACCGTTCCGAAATGGTCGGCAAGGATTGGGGCCGGTTGCAAGTCTAACGAGATCACAAGATTTCTTGGCTTGCCGCCTTGTCCCAGGGGGGTCTTTTTTCTCTCTTTGATAGAAGAGGGGCGAGGGGCGAGGGGGAGGGGGGATAAAAGTGAAGCACATAACCTCCAATTGGGCGCGGCGGTTGCCCCTCAGGAGCCCTCACTGCTGCCGCGCAATTGGAAATGGGTCTTCCCGGGTACGGCAGTACAATTGCTATACAAGGTACAGCGCTACCTTCGGCTGTCCTCTGAGACACAAGCCGCTCTTCCGGTAACATACCCTGGGGTCATCTGCCCTTCGGGGTCAAGGCACACGCGAAACTGGCGGCTGGGGATCGTGCGATCTACAGCAATACACAGCATGGACGTGCAAGACACACCACGGGACGCTGTGTTATACCCCCAGCGCGGGTTTCGGCCTTCAGATGCCCGAGTGAAAGACTGCTCGCGCCAGCTGAAAATGCTGTTGACACGGCCGCGTCGTGAGCAGTGTCTTACCTGTGGTCCAACACGGCTTTCGCACAACGGCCAACTCACTCTGTTACAGGATTCAGATGTGTACACGGAACATATAAGAGAATCGTTAATTCTAGAAGACGCGGAGAGATGCAACTCCCCGCGGAAGGATAAAAGAGGGGACATGATCTTAGTAGCCCCTGCTTGAGCAGACGATCCTGGGTCCCTCGGTGTCATTCCTACCCATACCGACGGCAACAGCTACTGATGATGCTGTTCCGAAGAGTAATAACAAGTGAGTTCTTCACGGGCCTAAAAGTTTCACCACGCGTGCAAACCGCTACAACACACAATGCAGCCAACACAAAAAAGTGCGGCTTCCTTTAGAGTTTCTGGACTGTGTACGCGTCCGTTGTGTGCTCGCTTGCATACAAATGTGATGATTATCGTTCCACTTACTCCAAGCCAACGCTCCGTCCCGCTCGCTTGGAAAAGAACAGCAAAAGGTACGCATACGCTCACGTACCCTAGCAGGCCAGCGGTTACCCGAACACCGAACACGTTTCAATGTCAAAGGCCACGTCTCGCATGCGTATTTCAAAGCTATACACGTAAAATAGCCAACGTCGTTATCCGTGTGACTACCTTTTTCGGTGACGATGCATATAGATCATGCATTTTGTACGCTTGGTCGGTAGGTGAGCTTCCCTTGGGCTCAACAGGAACATTAGGATCGTGGTACGCGTTGAACGGTACTTCCGCTTCTTGCAGGGCATCACCGGATTTCGGTTTGAGTATTTTAAATCATGCGTGACGTTTCCAGGTGTCCTGTCAGGCTAAATTGGGGCCGTGGAACGCCCGGCCACGATGGCTATTGGTGTTGCCTCACCTCTCCATTGTGTGCATGCTGGCACCCGATTCAGCTGAAGAAGAAGACGGGCTAGTCGTGGCTTCGTCTCCCTCTCGTCTCACTCTTTTCGAAGGCGGCGTCTCGGATCCTGGTCCCGTCCGCAGCGGTCCCGGCATGTCAGTTCCCCCAATCACAGCAGATTATCTCCTTGGCAGCAAGGCAACGCACCAGGTCGCGTGCGTGGAGAGAGAGAGAGAGGGAGAGAGACAGAGGTTGTTGTTGTACACGCGAGGGACGACGACGACAGGGGGCGACGCGAAATGTACAGGAGGAGCGTTCCACAACTTTCGAGGTGATATGTTTCCCGGGGATTGGGGACAAAAATGTTTTTTTTTTTCTGGCTCAAGCATGTCCTGCGGGTGGCTGGTCGCATCCCAGTTGCTCTGTTCCTTGTCGGCAGACATCTCCTGGTACAGCCATGGGTGAGTGTGCGTGGCTTGTGGGTTTCTTGTGAGGCGGGCGTGGACGTTTCCTTGTTGCGTGTTGGAGAGCGTAAAAAACGAATGAGAGAGTTTGACCACACCAAGATGTGTGCCCTTGTTTGAAAGGCTGGCCCAGCAGCGTTCGCTGCGCACGAAGGCGGCCGCCCGCATCGCTCTCCGCCACCGGACCGTGAGATGGAAGGAGAAAGCGGGACCTTCGCGAGCCGCATAATAAGCTGTGCACGAGGCATGGCGGTCGTAGCACGGCGGGGAATCCATGTCCCTTTGCGAGCGCGATACCGTTTGCCTTCGTTGATTGGAGCGCTTGGTGTGTGGGCGGTGTTGGCTTAGGAAGGGTGGTGGCCATGGATGTCGCAGGCAGGCAGAGGTTGCTGAGACTTGTCGGTAGTTGATCCTTAACTGCTGTGCGGGGTTCCCTCGATGCCCTCTGTACCGGGTGTTTGATGGCTTGCCCCCCGTGTAGTTTGTTTGCGCCAATCAATCCCCGTATCTCTCTCCCGGAGGCACGATACAAAATACACAAGCAGAGCATTGCTTCTGTAAATTGCCGCCTGTTGCAGACACACATTACATGTACCTTGTGTAGTGGACAGCGGTCGAGCAACACGGCCGCCATCTCTTTAACATGCGGAAGGGACGTTGAAGTCGTTAGAGGTTTGGCTAGGAAATCGCGAAATCACCCTTCTGCCTGATGCCAAATAACCGCGGGATCAGCTATCCTCTGCTGACCTACACACTGCTGCTGCACTGAGTGCTTGGGAACACTGGATGCTTGTGCACCAATGTATCGGCGACGCTACTGCTATTCCCAAGACCCGTTCTGTACAAGCGGCCTACGGCTTGTGTCCATAGTATCACTTGTCCAGCCTCGCTGACAGCGGTGGCGGGGAATGGTCCCACTGCTGATTGCAAGAGTGGAGGAATCGTTGGCGTCGAACTGCTTGTCAGCTACCGCGCCAAATCTGCACCATTCTTTGTCCGCTGTTAAACTAGACCCCAAAGCCAAGTCGCCTTCGGCATTCTCGACTCGATAGCCCCGGCCCAGCTGAACACACGGGAAGGTTGTGACAACATGGCGGCCCCGTAGGCGGGGGAACGTCGGAGTTGCCGCCTTCGTTCAACAGCAGTGCTTACTAATACTGCTGGAGACATCATGTCAATGTCTCTACCCTAGTACCAATCGGCGGTAAACTCAAGGCTACATGTACGCAGCAACGCCGACCTTCCCCTACGCTCGTAACCTACCTTGTATCTAGCCCGTGCGGGCCCGCTATTCTGGAGAACAGCTCCAAAGTGTTCATGAACAACCAAGGAAATGGGGCCAAGAAACACAGCTCAGTCGAGGGTCAGCTGTGTTTGTTGACCCCAATTACCTCGTTGTTCCATGAGCATTTTTGAGCCGTTTTCCTGCACAGCGGACCTTCCCCGGCTACTGCAGATTGATATAAGGGAGTTACGATGCGCGGCGGGGAAGGTCGGCGTTGCTGCGTAGACATGTAGCCTTGCGTTTACAGCCGATATGGTACTCTAAACTCTATTATAGTATGTACCAGTGTTTGGATGCCAACCCGAAGGACAAAGGATTTACACGTACTCAAAGGTGGTGACCAAAGAGTAGCCCCGACCCGCAGTCGACGTCTTTAGTGTACATGCGTATAAAAAGTGGGGGCCGGTACTGGGCATATTCAAAGTCTATGCCTTGAACACTGAATTTTAACTGTTCGTTCATCCCCGGACCCCCTGCTACAGGTATCTCGAGGGACTCCCGGCACAAGCGCCGCGAGACCGGCGGACGGCGCTCCAAGTACAGGAAGAAGAGGAAGTTCGAGATGGGGCGCCCCGCTGCCAACACCAAGCTTGGCCACAAGCGCGTCCACCCCGTGCGTTGCCGCGGCGGCAACATGAAGTACCGCGCGCTCAGGCTCGACAGCGGCAACTTCAGCTGGGGAACGGAGGGTGAGTGTTGTCCTTTCTGTTGTTGCCGATGCAAACGGCCTGGTTTTGTTGATGGCTACGCCGCACTCAAGTGTAGATCCTGATGGGACTGTTGCCAGAAGTGTATAGTTTGGTTAACACTACTTGGGGCAATAGAAACGAGTCAAGTTCGATGGCGAAAGAGTAGCCTCTTTCGAGCACACGAAAACGGTTTTGCCGCATGGCTGCATTGATTCTCGTCCCACGGAGTATATATCGGACGGTAGTAGGGAAAACGTGTGCCGCAAGGCCATGACGTGAAGCGATGATCGTAAAAACTTGGCGCCCTCGTGGTTTGAGTCTCCGCTCTCTTAGGCTCTCTCCTGAGCGGCAAGGGGCGTGCAGATTCGCCACACGAGCAGCGGCGCTCTTCGACTTGACAGTGAAGACGTTCAAGCGACCATACTCTATGAGCTTCACGACGTGTGTCAGTAGAATAGCAGCATTGTACATACATCCACAGCTGGCGAATTGTAGCAGAGCGATGTCCACAAGACACGCGGGCACGACAATTAGGGATTATATCCCCCTGTAGTTGGTATCGGTGTTTGCTCGGTTGGACTCTGCGGGAGGCAGGCGGATGTTGTAGATGTTGCGGCCGTAGCAACCTGTGCTTCCCGTCGTTCGACTGAAATCCCAAGTTTCCTGTTGACTTGATGGCGCGATGGGCTCGCTGTACCATGTGTACAAGATCAAATCGTCTCGGTGGAAGGAGGGCTTGTTCGTGGCGCGGTGTAAAGTTCGTCGCTGGTGTTGCTGGAGACTCTTTGATCGCTCTTAAAAGTAGTTGCGATCCACCAACGGTCGCCCCTTTCGAAGACTAAACGGCTGTGCGTACAGCCCCAAGCTTTTTCTCCGTGCTGCTGACACGACTCACTGTGCTCTGGCCTAGCATTGCTCGTTTTTGACTCTAGCCCTACGCTCTTTCGCCTCGCCTCGTTACATCCACATTTCGCGCGCGCTGATGTTTCCCCCCCTCGGATTGAACCTCTGACAACGCCCCTACATGACCAGTGTGCACCCGCAAGACCCGTATCCTCGACGTCGTCTACAACGCCAGCAACAACGAGCTGGTCCGCACCAAGACCCTCGTCAAGAACGCGATCGTGGTGGTGAGTGTATTCAACACCCTATCAAGGGTGGGTGCAGCATGTATGCGTGTGGTGCCAGTGTTTCGGTAACCTTTGGATGTTTGCGGCCTTTTACCCTTCCGTCCCCGGGGGGTCCACCGTTCAGTACTGGTTAGTGCCAGATATTGAACCAATGGGCATTTCGTTGCCTCAAAGCTGGAGTAGAAATGGCGAGAGGTGATTTATCGGACGGTCCGTCGCTATGGTTGACGCCAGTTGTGAATCAATGGACATGTGCCGCCTCAGAGCTGATTCCAGATCGCAAGAGCATTTCTCCTTTCCACCAAGTCCACGGTTACGGATGGTCGGCGCCAGAAGTCATACGACAGACATTTACCGCCTCAAAAGTTGCCATAGGATGGCGATAGGTTCCTCCGCCTCTCAAGAGGACCGGCCCTCTGACGGATTGATTTGTCTTCACGTTTCGTGTTCGGCCTCCAAGGTTGACGCCCACCCCTTCAAGCACTGGTACGAGAACCACTACGGCGTCACCATCGGTCTCAAGAAGGGCAAGAAGGCGCCCCCCGTGGAAGAGGAGGTGAGAGATCTATACACTAATTTAACACAACATTGCGCATGGTCTTGATTGGGCTTGTTTCTTGACTTCGTGGAGACGCTTCCCTCACCCTATTCCGTCAAACACCGACCGATCAACTTTGTGTGCGCGCTTGTGGTTTGCTCTTTGCTCGTTGAGGGTACACCCTGCGTCCTCCGTGATGCCTCAACTCTCTTGGTATTAACACCACCTGTATGGAACAAAAGTGGTCACCGTTGAGAGCATGCAGTATGCTAGTGACCGGATTGTCAGTTTGTTCGTCATGGCGTGGCTGAACGATTTCGGGGATTAATCTTTCGAGAGAGAAGTTTTCTCGTGCAACACATGCTGTGTTCTTTCTCCTCATAAAGACTCGTTCGAGTCTTTTGTTCCCCGGCGAACGTCGGCCCGCTCAGCCGTCTGAAAGTGCGGACCCCATTGCCACGTCCGGACAATTTTCACGAATTTCGAGTCGCACAACGATTGAATTTCTGGTATCGTCAAGTTTTGTCAATCCAGGCAAAGACCTCACGTAAACCTTAGCCATGACGTGCAGCACATGGTTTTGTCGAACATGATGTATCACAAATTATGGGAAGTGTTGTGTACGCCACAATGGGTGCGACATATTAGCTCAATCCAGATGTAATTTCCTTCTGTTTTGACTTTCAACACCATGGTCGGACCAGAAATTGAAAACATACCACAAGGCTGCCGCGCTTGCCCTCCGGTGCTGATGCAACTAGCGCACAACAACGCCGCGATTGCGTATGCTCCCAACGGCTATCATGGTTTTGCTGTCATCAGCTTGCCTCTGTCATCTTTTTTTTGTTTGCTGTCGTTCCGCGTGCAGGCCGTGGCCAAGTCCGACCACGTAAAGCGCAAGCTGGCCAAGCGCCAGGCGGACCGCACCCTGAGCCCTCTCCTCGACGAGCAGGTGGCGTCTGGCCGCTTCCTCGCGTGCATCTCTTCTCGCCCTGGCCAGGTCAGTGTGGCGGCACGATGAGGACCTCTCCAGTGTGTTCCTTGGTTTTGTTCAGGATATATACGCTCCGAAAGACAGCATCCGTTCGACATATAACCACAGCAGTAGTCTAAGAGAATGTTTTGTTGAAAAAAATATACACAAAAAACACATCTAAGAGAATGGTTTGTTGAAGAAAATATACACAAAAAACACAGAAATACGCAACAAACACAGAACGACTACCGTTTTGAGATACAAAGCGACAGACTTTTCAGTGCAAGCACACCGGCTGGAAGCTGGGCTTGTACCGGCATGCGTGGATAACCGTGTTTTTTTTCTTTTCAGGCTGTACTCAGTCGTTCATCGGCTTGTATTGAGCCGGAGGAGAACATTTTCGTGATTGGAGGTGGCTACAGACTCAACCTGACCCGTGCGCTTGTAGTTGAACGCTTGTTGCTTACTGTGAGAATGAAACACGATATGCATATGTTGTCCCTCCCCCCTCCCCTTGGTTATATGGCCGTGGGTGTGACTGTCCTGAAAAACAGGGCAACGTGATTTCGTTCACCTGACCAAAACGTACATAAGTCAGCCGTGTGGGAAGTACGGGTGACGATTAGGATTTCAACCAATGACGATGGTCTCCCTCGGTTCCTTTTTATTGCTGCCTAGGTTTGTGTTGTTTCTTGCGCGCTCTTGTCCAGTTTGCTTGCGATGCGTGTCCCCTTGTCCTTGATCCCTGCCGCCATTCATTTGCATCTAACTTATGTCACCTTTGCACTCGTTCCCCATGTTTTTTGTTGTTGCGTGTTCCCGTGTGCGATAGTCCGGCCGCTGCGATGGCTACATCCTGGAGGGCAAGGAACTCGAATTCTACCAGAAGATGCTAGCCAAGAAGAAGTCGAAATAAATCACACGATTACCACCCCCTTGGAGATCGCACATCGGCCCGAAGAAAGCGGTAGCAGTAGGATCATGCGAGGTTTGGCGCCCTCGTTTTTGTTGGTTCCGGCATTCGCGAGGCGTTTCTCCATGTTGCGTGCTTACGTACGTCTGATTGGGCCTCTTGTGCGGTCGGCGGGGAAGGATGTGTGATTAGATTTCCAAAAGTGGCAGTTGTTACTGCTGCTGATGGTTGTGGACATCGCTACAAGCCTGTAACGGTGGCTGGTAGTGTGGGACACGAAAGACATGCGACAGGGCAACAAATGAAACCGGGCAACACAGAAACATGTTCCAAGCAACCTTTTGTGGTTTTTGCTGCGCCGCAAGCTCATGCTCACACATGCACGTAAGGTCGTCTTTGAACGAATCAAGCGCACCCTGCTGTCGATCACGTGAAGCGCAATGTCACGCGCGAGGACGCCGTGACATTTGTCATGTCTCACCATCGTGTTCAGCACGATCAGGAGCGAAAGACACACAGTCTCAAGAACAACCCAACAACACGGGGTTCGGCCTAGCTGGCTGTACGTGTGTAGCGCGGAGGTATCATGCCTCGCGTTCATGACGCTCGTTTTAACGACAAGATAACGGCGAAGACTCAAAATAATGGCAACGCGACTAGCCGCTGTCCTTGTCCTCCATTTACTCAGGAGGCGACAGGATGGTGTTGCCAAGTATGCCGGATCGCGTATGAACCCAAAAACTTTTATCCAAATCAGAAACTGACGAAGTGTTGATGTAGATCGTTTCTTCCTCCGTCATGGTGTGCTACGTGGCCAACAACCCTCACAGAGTTGTATCGGCCCACCAGCTCTCTTGTGCTTCTCACCTCCATAACATCATGCGGCTCGGTATTGCCAAAAACACTGCGGGTGTCGTCGCTTCCCCGAAACTACAGTTTGATTTATTCTTCTCATGCCGATCGACTGGACATCGCTCATCACTCAGACACAAAACAAAATATATAGCGAGGACCTGCCAATCAAGTTGCCATGCGCTGTTGCAACCCTCTCTACAGCAGTGTACGGGCCCACTCGAGCGAACAGTTCTGATATTTGGAAAAATGGCTCTCACATGTTTACAGGAAGGATAACACGTGTTGTTGTAGGCAATTTTCTGCACGTAAATAGACTAAACGTGTTTCGTTTTTTTGCGTGAGATTGCGCGAGATTGCGCGTCAGCAGGGTTTGTTGTATCAGACACGCTGGTCGTATGTGCATGGTGCTCTCTGTTGTTTACATATAGCGATACGTGTTCGCACGCGTCACCGAAGGGGTCTCTATTGGCGCGATTCATTCGCGACACGTGAAGCACATCGAAAATGAGACCTCGTGGGTGATGGGATAAGTTGCGTTTCATCGAAACGTCCACGGTTACACCGCTTTGCCACGAGGTGGAAACGATCGTTCCTTCGTTCCTGCGTATTGGTGGTGAAACAAAGTGAGCAAACCCTGGTGTATTATCTGTGGCTGAAAATTCTGATCCGCAGCCTTTCCTCGGGCTAGTGTTGTTGCCAGAGCCAATGTGTGTGTACAGGGGGTGTACAGCAGTGAACAATATCTTTCGAAACAACGCGGCGGAACTCTGGGTGACGTCCTACCCGGGCGGACTAATTTGACGATGTTTGATCTGTGCGAGTTGCTGCTCCCCCCTGATCTCCCTCTCTCCCCCCACAGACATTTCCTGGTCATTCACCCCTATCTCAACGACAGCAGTAGCCAAGACACAAAGCGCGCAGCACATATCGCCCACGAACGAGCGCGGTGTACGGTACATCCTTCTCCTCCCGCGGGACTACGCGCGAAGGTCGAACCCGACGGTTTGTCGGCTACATCTTCTCGGGCTATCAGACGAGGACTCGAGGCTGCCAGCTCATTGTACAAAACAGGAGGAAGAGGGTGTTATATTGGCCGTTGTTGCTAGAGCACCGCACCAGAAAACATGGCTCGAAGGAGCATGACTTCCCCACAGGCCGGCTGGAGGAGGTCTCCTGGCCTCGTTTTCACCACACCTCGCACCGCCTCTGAGGTCAGCTCTTGGCGAAACCGGCGTCCAGTTGCGGTAAACGAGAACTATCCAGGTGTAAGCAACCTGGAACCGTGGCTCGATGAGATCATCGGTGTCAGCTCTAACAGAAGAAACACTCGAGCCGCCGCTCCAGGCCCGGCCAATACTGCTACCCCGGCAAGCTGCAGGAGGTGAGCCTCCGCGTAGCCTTGCATGATTGCTCGCCATGTCTTCGTTTCTCTGACATGTTACCCTGTCGCTAAAAGTCGACGTTTTAATACGTCAGTCTTCTTGTATGACATGTGGTGGTATTTTCAAAAACAGCGAAACACACAACAGATTCATGCGTGAACCGAGCGGGGCGTGAACAGCCCTCCACGGCGATACAGCAGCGCGGTGGTAGCGTCGATCCCGTGGTGGATGTTGGTCCCGTGTGCAAGTTCCAGTCGTTCGTCTCGCCCATGTTTTCTCTTCTTTTTATCGTCCCTCTCGGTTTAATTCCAAACAAACACGTCTTTTCATCTTTGTCTCTAACCGCTTGCTCCCAGCCACGTTACTACCCCTGCTGCTGCTGCTTTGAAAGTGCACAGAACAAGCTGCTGGCATGTATACAGCACAAGCAACGACATCATTTTAGTCACCACCTAACAACCAAGCCCTAACGAAACAGAAACGTTCATCCATCAGACTCCCACTTCCACATGCACCTTAACTAGAGAAGAAAACGAAGAGGGAGCAGAGGCTGGAAAACCTCGTCAGACCCTGGTACACCCTGATATCGGTTGCTGTTGTTTTTCTCAACATGTGTCACAAGTCAATCTTCTTCACCTTGTGTAACATGCTCTCTTCGTTGTTGTGGGATACAAAATAGTTTACGACGGACAGCTCGAACTTCGTTAGCATTAGGGGAACAGCAAAGACAAAGAATGTTTGATACCCATTTTCATGGTGGTGGTAGACTGGCATTTTTCTCCCGAGGTATCAGTCCACTTCATGCAACGTTCCATTTCGTTGGGAATAGATGGATGCGGTGTACATCGAAGGGTACAAGGATCGGACTGTTGGCACGAGGCAGAAAAGATAGTACCATCTAGTCTACGCACTATCGGACGAAACAAATAAATCCATGGTCTTTTGCACCATACCACGGGATGTTCCAAGCCCATGTCCGCCTGCGCTGAATTAGGATAGCCCCGCAATACTGCGCATAGCACTAAAGCCAACAAATAATTAATTAACCAAAACAACTGACGTTTTCACGCGCCCCTTATACTAATGCTGTGCAGGGTGCTGGCCAACGCTTGGGCCAGCTTTGAGAGAGCGAACTCGTCGAGAGATACAACTCCGCGGGGTACTTCACATGTGAGCTTGAGGGTCCAAAACTCTAGACTGTGTAGAAGCTTGCTACAGCAGCCAACCCAAGTCTCTGCAACTGCAAAAGCTTAAAGCTGCTGTCCTGCAGATCGGTACCCGTCGGTATTGTATCCTTGCCTGTCCGTTCACGAACGGATTACATGTATCTAAGCACCTAGTGAAGAATTTTCTTGGTCAAGCGTAGATGAACAGACGATTCAACGCTTAACTTCGACACCCCAAATGAGAAATGTTTGACAGTTGTACAGCGTGGCTCTGCATTCAAACGTTTGGAATGGCTCGTTGGTAGCCGTCAACACAAACACACCCAAACCCTGCCCTTCTTCAGCTGACACCTGACCGCCCTGATGCATGTACCAATGTCACATCTTAATTTTGTGGTGGTTCAATGCATCTAAATCTGTTTGCGTCCATTCTCGTCCACTCTCGCCCCCCTCCCCCCCCTGAACACATTTGACGCAGGCTATGGGACTCAGTTTGTTCGCCTTGGATCCAGTTCTCGCGGAAACGCGGGAAACGCTGCGGCCGGAGCGTGCCAACTTCGTTCAGCCATCATCCGAACATCCCCGACGCCCGCCGACCCCTCCGACCCGCCCGCCTGCCGTAGAACCCCTTCAAGGGGCCAGTGCCCTCTCAACCGAAGAGGCCGACAGTATGCTGGCGCATACGTTTTTGAAGCAGGATCGCCAATTCGACAACGTCCGTGTGGGCTTTCAGATGCTGAGGGGATGCCAGCCCCAGCTCTTCAGTACATTCACGTCAGGCATAATCGACATGGCCATCGGTCTAACTGCTGGTGCCAGTATTGTCCCTTCGCACCCTGTGGCCGCCGACACCGTAGCCCTAGCCATCATCAACTTGGCAAGGTTTGTGGCGACCACTGCAGAGGAGGGGATCGCGGATGACGACCGCGATCTGCTCCCCCTTGTGTGTCTGTTTATGGCCCAAAAGCTAGAGGAGAATGGGCCGGACAACATCCTCGCCGCGATGCTCGCTATGCGCAACGTGTGGGAGCCCGACCACACGGCAACAAAAAAGCGCGTGGCCAAGCTTGAGTCCAAGGTGTGCGCCAGCCTCAAGTGGGCGCTGTACGCTGTGACACCCACGACGTTCGGTCACCTTTTTCTTGCCCGTGCGTTGTCGGAGGGCACTCTCGCCGGAGGGCAGTCTCAAGTGAGGGAGCTCACAGCAGCAACGTCGCTCAGATGGGTGCAGCTTGGCTACCTGTCGGAGTTCAAGCCGTCCGAGTTGGCTGCCGCCGCCATCTTCTGCGCCGTGCTCCGTGAATGCGATTTTCAAGCAGCTCGACAGGTTACCGAGGATACAAGGAGTGGTGTTGTCGACTTGGAAAGCTCGAGGTTCTGGGTGTTGTATCGCGAGGAAGACAGCCACAACGCTGTTCCGACGATAATGGATGCAATCAACGCTGCTGGCGTCGGCATGGGCGCCGACGATAGAGGAACTGACGCAGCGCAGCCGTACATCGACGGAGCCGCCGACAAGGCTGAGGGAGGCGGAACGGCATACGGTTGCAACGACTCTGACACCGAGGGTCCCACGCCGCCACCTACAAGAGAACCCGGAGAGGCTCATGAGGCGTTCTTCGCAGATGGCCAGCAGGTAAAATTTCTCTTGCCTGAAAGTTTCTTGCTCACCCCAACCAGCATTCGCCCGAACGGATGAACTGTTTCGGTGTTGTCGGGGTCCTTGTTCGTCGACTGATTTCCCATTTCCCGGCCTCTTCTCTTTCCTCCCTTCAATGACATGAAAACACCAGGTCAGCCTGGTCGCCTCCAGCGGCGGTTACACCTCGTCGTCCAACCGACAAGATATGGATGAGCCAGAGAGCGGTTCCGGGAAAATCTCAACGTCCTCGGCCCGCAGCATCATCGGGGAACGGACTTATTGTACGACTGGTGAGATGACGGCACCGTCCCGCGAGTTCGCCAGGGCTTCGCGCTTCTTTCCGATGTTGTTGGATGACCGCTACACCACGGCAATGAGCGCCGGTGCCTCGCTCTCTTCTTCTGAGCACACTCTCGGGATCTTGGGCCACGCTCGCGGCAGCGACGTCGATACCTCAGTAGTCACGCCACCCAGCGCGTCCTTCGCCACCTATACAAACAGAAACACCCAACCGGCGGCAGCGTGTGTATCACCATCTCATGGGCAAGAANCGCTCTCTTCTTCTGAGCACACTCTCGGGATCTTGGGCCACGCTCGCGGCAGCGACGTCGATACCTCAGTAGTCACGCCACCCAGCGCGTCCTTCGCCACCTATACAAACAGAAACACCCAACCGGCGGCAGCGTGTGTATCACCATCTCATGGGCAAGAAGAATCTGACCCACCGGGAGCAACGGCCAGAATGCCATGGTTGGGACTCAATGTAGGCCCCCTCGGGATCATCGGTGGCGATGCTGGCGGTAGCGATGGCATTTCGGACGACAATGATACCCTCGGTCTGCCCCAGGTGGATATGATGCCCCGAACTAACAGCATTAACGAGGTTGCGGAGTGGGATGTCGTTGTAGAGATGACGATGGAAGAAGCGGACGAGTTGTTGCTGCAACAGAGACCTCACCTTGTACCGGCACCGGCGATGTTCGGTGGAGGCCACAGTCACCTTGCGCCCGACCTTTCTCACGTGGAGCCCCGCGATGGTGACACCGAGATGAGGTGGGAGCGCGCCGCCATGCGAAGGCTGGACGACGGCGTCAAGGCGTTCCAGCGGCAAGAAAACAAGCAGGGCGTTGCGCCGCTGGTTTTCTGGGGGGAAGGTGGTGTGCTTCTGCCCGTGGTCCCACCCGCGCAGGTCGACGCACGCACAAGCCCCCCCGCCAGCAACAGCACCGATGATGCGATCGAGTGGGAGCGTGAGGTCGAACGGCAACTTGAGGAAGCCGGTAAGCTCTTGCGGCAGCAGAACTTTCACCTGGTGACGGCGGTAGCCGTGGGCAGCTGCACACTTCTGCGACCGGGGAAAGTATACCCGCCGCTCTTTCATACCAACGACCACCAGGACGATGCTCCGACTTCGCAGCACGCCGTCACCACCGCGTTGCTAAGGCCGGACGCGTTCGCGGGAACGTTCCGGTCCCAGGAGGAAGGAAACACCGACTCCGCGCCACCGGGCTTGTCCAGGCGAGGCTTCTACCCGCCACCCTTCGACACCAACGGGAGCCAGGACGACGCCCCAGCTTCGCAGCACGCCGCCACCGCGTTGCTCAGGCCGGACGCATTCACGGGCGCGTTCCAGTGCCAGGAGGAAGTAAACGCGGACTCCGCACCACCGGGTTCTTCCAGGCGAACCTTCTACCCGCTGCTCTTCCACACCAACGGGAGGCAGGATGACGCCCCGGCTTCGCAGCACACCACCGCCACCGCTTTGCTCGGGTCGAATGCATTCGCGGGCGCGTTCCAGTCCTAGCAAGGGGCGCCAAGGGCTTCCGTCCTGCCGGTTCCCTTAAGTGTACGTTGTGTCCCTGTTTCGCCGTTCGCGGACGTAGCACGTTATTTCGTTGTACTCTCTGCTTCTCATAGGTTTCAACGAGACAGGGGTGGCTGGCCTGCATTGATTGTGCAATACTATTTCGCAGAGAGGGCCGATATTGTTTCTATGTGTGTATATAGACCACGTGCCATATTATTTTGTTCCTGCGTGGTTGGTCCGTCTCAGATCCGCGTCTGATTCGAAGGGTTCGTTTCACCCGCAGTTCGAATCCCGATAAATTGTCTGAAGTATCGACGTGAAGTACCCAGTGAAGAGTAGTATTTGTTTGCTGTTGGGATTCCATGACACAGGTCCATCCGTTCCTATTCATGGAGTTTCCGAATAGCGTTTTTGTCACAACCAAGAGGGCGTCTCACGTACGCTTCAGTTGCTCCGTCTCGGGCGACCAGCTCTCCTGGATTGTGGACCTTTGTCGCTGCGTTAGAACTAGCTTCCTGTATTATAATACCCACGTGTAGTTGTGTGCGTCCCCCCTTTTTTTTTTGGCATGAGCGTTTTTCACCGTTCGTTGTGTCTTCTGGCCACACCGATCAGCCGGGGTCACACAGGACGCCCACGAAAAAAAAAAAGAGTTTTTTTGCCTCAACCTTTCTTTTGCAGTGCTTGCAACAATTTTACTCGCGGAGGAAGCCCGCGAAGTAGGGAGTTTCCCCATCTATCTTCGTTCTGCGGCGCTTGCAACACTTTTGCTTGTAAGAAAGGTTCGGCCATACTCCGTACGTACCTTTTCTCGTCGATCGCAATGTTGTGCGCGTGAAAAAATCGCCGTCCATCACCTTGCATGTTTCATCATATTGCGAGAATGGACCCAGCCAGATAGTCCGTGCGATTTCCCCGACGTTCGAACTCACATACCAAAGAACAGAGGGCTGCGGAATGATTCAGTTATGTCAACCACAATAAATTGGAAATAGAGTTCCCGAAACAAGCGCCCATTCGCAAGACAAGACGGTGCATCCCGACAGGAGGTAAGCTCAACTACTTTTTGACCTGGAGTATTCTAATATTGAGACAATCCACTGACAGAGATTTCGCCCCGACCCGAAAAATAATTGTTCTTGTCCTAACATTAAAACCGTGCCGGTGGCTACTCAGTACCTGCTGACACCCGTTCCGGTCGAAGGCCTTGCGTGGCCACAAAATTGACGCAAATAACATGCTGATAGGTTTTACATTCTAGCCCGGGGATCGCGTTTTAGGGGATCCCTCGTTTCTTCTGCATCATTTCCGCGGTGGTTTGCCAAGAAAGGCCTCGCTGAACTCAGCTGCGGCCGGGGAAAAACGGGTTTTGCAACAGTGAGGCAACGCTATTTATTGCGTTGTGCGGTTTGAGCAAGGGGTCATGACAACACATGTAATCCCAGGTGTTCGCCACAAGAAGGCCAGACCTCTCACGCGCACGATGACAGCCAGCTGGAGCTCATGATTCACCCTCTCGTTTAGCTGACACGGTCACATTCAAATAGACACCCAACATACTCCCCAAGTACAGAAGAAAACGCCTCGATATTTTCCCTCTTTTTCCTGACCGCCGCAAGACAATCCAAAAGGGCAAAATACATCTCCTCCATCGACCTTCAAAGCTCCACTTCACCTGGTCTTTTGTGGCAGCACGCTCGCTGCTTGAGAGCGCACAGCCGATAAGACGTCACGCACGGGGATGCAGATCGACAAAGAATACCATTAATAACGCAAACCTATCCACAAGACAAAGCGACAACACGTGTTTCGATACAAAGCGGCACCGGTTGCACTATACCCGTTGCCTCAACTAACGATGGAGACACATACATCTACCACGACGCTTCCTTCATGAATACACGCCACATCGACACACCACGGGTCAATTACCGAACCACGAGACAAGGGAAACTCAGCGAACAACACTCCAAGCACATTCGGGCACTGCTGCTGTGTGCGCCGCCTGCTTCCGTTCTCGAGCTACTGCAGACGGCGGGCGCCGAGCAAAAGAAAAAGTGCCGACAGCAGCAGTGCTTCAGTGCCACACCACGATAGAACACTCGCCACCAAATAGTACACGCATCAAAAATGTAGCGCGAGCGACGCCAACGACATGGGGGTTCCACCTCAGCTCAACCAACGCACCTCTCTCACCCCTATCAGATCACCAGTGTATATACGAGCAAAACCGACGGAGTCAGCTATTTTAGCAAATGATTTTTAGCGGCACGGCTGCAAGGCCGCGGTCGGCGCATCACAAGGCGCGGGTTGCAACGCCGTTGCTACGGACGGCGTGCCGGACGGCCGTTGCACAAAGTCGAGAAGCCGGGGGGGTAGGGAATGGATGGAATGGGCCGCCAACCAAACCGTAAAAACATTGGTGACAACAGCGTACAAGCAATGGTATAGACACAGTCTACACACACATTCACGTGTTTTGTTCATGGACATCGAAACACAGGTTAAGAAAAAAAACACGTCCTGCCTGACTGGCTGCAACCTAACAGACCCAACGGCCCGGGACCGATCAATCACACAACCACACGGCCGATAAAGGCTGTAGGCTTAAAGGCAACGGCCCCCTAATCCTTCGCCACCTACTATTCTCGTCCGCCGGAGAGGGCGCCATCTCGAGCGGCTCATGAGTCACAAGCCCGACAGGCAAAAAAAAAAAAAAACACACACACATACTAGTTCGTTGGCGACCGTTTGTGTTACCCCCTCGATCCAACGACAGACGGTTACACACTCGACGAACACGAAACGGCACAAACTGCAAGTCATCATCGTTGCCGGACGAAGCCGGGCTGTTGCGCGCCCACAAAGTTCATGAGCAGGGAGGGCGTGGGCACTTCGAACAAGAACTGAGCCAGGAACCTCTCCAGCAGGCTGCACTTCGTCTTTAGGTAGTTGGCTTCGAGGCATCGGTACCACCTTTGGGTCTGAAAAAAAAAAAAAGCGTCAAGGGGAGGAAACAAAAAACGGCGCATGGACAGTCAGTCAGGGTGCGCCGTGGACTGTGAAGAGATCTTTACTCTCCAAGGGGAGGAAACAAAACAAGAGATGGTTTCGTTGCGCTACATCATAGTATGAAAAAAAAAAACGGCCCATCAGCCGGGGTGAGCGGTGGATTGTAACAACATCCTAACGCGGTGCCTGCTAAGGAATGACAGGTGTGCTACGCGCGGATAACCAGGTGTAACGGGAGGCCTTGCTCAAGCGGTACGACACGAGCGTTCCAAGCGTTCGGTGCAAGTTTTACGAGCTCGAAGGAGGAGCGCAGCAGTACAGAAGCCAGGGCCCACCGTTTAAGACCCTCTAGTTCTGGCGTTCTGGCCGAGGTTGGTGTTCTTAGTCATCGTGCGGGCAACTAATGTCTCTTGTTTAGGTTTAGTGCCGGGAGTATTGACCGGGCTCACAAACAGTTCACAAGTTCTCACGTGTTAATATAACGTTGCGCATGAACTTCTTCACTATCAAGTCATGTAGTGCGGATGCTATCTGTAGGAGCAACCAGATATGACGGTTTCAAAAGGTCCGTGTGTCGGGAAGCGGTCCACCCGCCCCCGAACTCGCAACAAGACAAGCTCTCGATCGAGCGCGGGGGGGAGGTCGAAAGTCTCGCACGCTGGTCAAAACGAAAAAAAAAATGACGGGCGGTGCCATTGTCTTCGTTGCAGGTGTTTCTGGGTTCTCCCGGGCCATGCCTTGACACGTCGCAAGTCATTAATGGTGAGGTGAGACCAGCCTGACCCAGCTTGGTTTTGGTACGTTACGGGCTTAGGTTGGTTACGACCCCCCCGCCTCTTTTCGCTTGGGTTGGCTACGAACCCCTTTTCTCCAGTTCACTGATAACGCTTAATATCTTGGCGAGAGCGGTCCGCCTGGCCTGACTGCACTTGGCCTAGACCGGCCCGTGATACTGGTCCCCGCCGGCAGAATAACGCCTTCTTCCTAGGGAAATCCGCAGGTCCTGCCTCAACAGCAACGCATCAGGGCAAAACGCTGCCTCCGACGAGGAGAGGAATTGAGCATGTCTCGGCTCTCTTGACAGCCGCCCAGAGGACGACAGTCGCAAAACAAGAGGACGGGGACTGACGAGCAACTGTCGAAAAAATTCACGTCGCACAACAGCCGGGGGGGCGGCGGCGGTTACCACCACCTGCTCTGCTGTTCAGCGGTACCCGCAGAAACGCGCATGTGTCCGTTCCCCACCGAATCCACCGAAGAAACCCTTCACGCCCACGCACAGGGTCCGATACAACGAAAGGCCTCAGTCGAGCACACGGTCGTGGCGTAGGGCCCGTTAGCAACCGGAATCAAATCGCTAGAATTGTCAGCGGCTGAACTGGTCTTGTGGTCTGACTTCGGTTGCAAAAAAGCAAGGTTCGAACCCATGAACTCAATTCCTCTTGCAACCGAAATCACACCGCTATTATAGCCGTCGCGCTGTCTGTTCTAACCGTCCGATTTCGGTTGCCAAATAATAAAGATTCTACCCCACGACCTAGCTTGTTCTAGCAACTGAAAACAGACCCATTAACCAATCAGTCGGCGTTCACTGGTCTCAACAGTCTGATTCTGGTTGCTGACAAAGGGAAGATTCGAACCCCACGAGTTAATTTCTTTCAGCAACCGAAATTTAGAACGCTAAGATTAGTCAATCGGTGTCGACCGGTCTCACGGTTCGAAGCCTGTTGCCCAGAAAGCAATATTCGAACTCAAGGCTTGACTTCTGTTATGCATAGCAACCGAGATCAAACCCACCGGCCTATACCCAACACAAGGACCCTGCTGTCCCATATCCTCGGCTTCCCCCTACGGCCGTGACCCACCTGCTGTATGTGTGCCCACGCCTTGACCGTATCTCGCAGGTCCGAGATCTTGGCGTACTCCGCCAGCAGCTTGAAGTCCGAAAAGCGCTTCCACGACTTGTACACCTCGTCCTTCGTCGACACGAGCACCTGTTTCGCGATCGATTCACGCCGGGGATGCGCAAGTCAGAGACAATCCCATGATCTGCCGATTCACTCCCCAAGGATGCAAGCTAGACACAACCTTGTATTTACCGATTCGCTCCCCAAGCGCGATTAGTACTGTCGTCCAAATACACAAAACAAATACAAACATATCATTTGTAAGGTAAGAGGCTGAGACACACGCGAAGCTAGACACTGAATTTTGAGTCGTTGTACAGGTATATAGCATTACACACAAACACTTCTTAAGGGGCTGAGTGGGTGAGGAGGATGGGCGGTCACGGGAGGCGCGCTTCGGCTGTTGAGACGATGGCACGTCCATGTCCAGCGCTCAAAGGGCCTCGCAGCGGTCCAAAGTGGGACCAACGTCTTGCTCTCCGCCAACAGAGTTAATTGCCAAGTTATCTGGTGCGATGAACCTCTGCTTCATCAAGCCAGAGGAATTACTTGTTAGTGGTGCGATACACCTGTTTTTTCCGCCATCAGAGTTAATTGTTATGTGTGTGCGATAGGCGTGTTACTTTTTTCCGCCGCAGAGTTACTTACTATTATGATGCGACAAACCTCCGACATTTTCAGTCGGCAGAGTTACTCGCTACGTGGTGCGATACACATTTGCTCTTCCGCTGGCAGAGTTGGTTGGTACATGAACCTTTGCGTTTATCAGCCATCAGAGTTATTACTATGTGGTGCGATCAACCTCTTTCTTTTTTCCGCCAGCAGAGTTCAGCCAAGTGCCCTACAACCAACCCCCTTCACGACGGAATCACAGCGCCGGGCCCTCTACCACCGCACCGGCTGCAGCAAGAGCGTAGTAACAGAAGCAGCAGAGCGCAGCAGAAGTGGCTGCGGCAGAGCGCAGTAGCAGCAGCGGCAATCACACCTGGTACTCCGCGTGGACGGCAAACGGCGACAGCCGGCGGACGCGAGTCGAGCCTATGGACACGGCGTAGGGCTCTGGCTGCTGTCCCATCCCTTGCCGGAAAGTCTTGGTCGTGGTCACCCGGGCGTTGGGCACCACAAACTCCACCGTGACTGCTTCCTGCACCAAGAGAGCGATAAACGCCGGATACAAAAGGTGGATGCGGTTGTGCGTGCGTCTTTGTTATTAGCACCGACCGCGCTGTGTTTGTTTATCATAAGCATCGACCGCGCCAACCGGCCGACCGATTAAAATATGAAAAGACGTCCGTCTCAGTGCGGTTAAAAACACAAAACACTTGTATATGCCATCAACTGGGACCCCGTGAGGGGCGGCATGGGAGAGTGTGTGTGTTTCTATTATTAGCATCGACCGTGCTAACCGGCTGACCAATGAAAAGACGTCAGTCTCAGTGCGGTTGAAAACACAACGACAGTATGTGTGTGTTTGTTTGTGGCAAGCATCATTGACCGCGCAACGTCAAAGCGAGCGATACATGCCGGTGGTTCCGAGCATCAAAGGTGGGTGCGGTTGTGGCGGATGTGTGAGTGAGTGTGTGTGTTTTTTTGTTTAAGCATAACCTGCGCAATCCGAAAGAGATGAAGACAGACTCTGCAGCTGGAAACGAAAAAAAAAATGCTATATATTGTGTGGAACTGTGCGTGTGTGTTACAGAATTTTAGGTGCTGGGCTGTTGCTAGTCGTTGAACATCGACCGCGCATTCCGGTCAAGGCTTGGTAGCATATTTCTCTCTTCTTCTTATCGACCCGCCTCAAATAGCCGAGGTCGCCCTCTTCTTGTGTACTTCAGCAGGGGGATCATCCTTCTCGCCGTGGGGTGAGCGAGTTTTGAATATAGAGGGGGGCCCGGTATGGGGCAGGGGTGTGTCCATAGATTTTACCTGCACTATAGCGGGCACCTGCACTACTCCGGAGAGTGCCTCAATAGTGCAGCTTCGGCACTATTGATGTTTTGAACAACCCTCAATAGTAGAGGACCTGCACTATTGAGGAGGTGTTTGACTTCATGGTTTGGCGCTCACGCTTTGCGGGGCTGGCTAACTGGGTACGAAATGGATCGAATTACAGTAGTGCTGGGCCCTGTCCTAGCGTGGGCGTGGGGAGACTGTCTCGTGACGCGTGTGGGTCCCCCTTGTCGCACACACAAGAGATGTTGTAGAAAAATTACTTGCATGTTCCACCGTTACTTTCTTCCTGCCTCAGCACTCGTACTGTATACTGCACACCCTTAACTGCTGTCGCGCGAACCAACCCTTCTACATTGATACGTAGCTAACGAAGCTAAATCTCAGTCCTCGTTACCCTCGTTCGATGTGGCAAGATAAAAAATACAAGAAAGAAAAAAACAAAACAGGAAGCTCACTGCAAGAAAACAAACAACCACTACTTTTCTTTTTGCTACAGCTGACCTCCCGCCTGCACTAGCGAACAATTGCCTCATGTCTGCCTGGCGCACCCGCTCAGCGGAATGCGCTGCTATCATCGCCAGATCACCGTCCTCGAAAGGCGCCTCTGCGTAGAGCTCTTCGGGTCTGTAGCAGCACGTGTACCCTCGTTTCTGTGTTGCTTTTGTCGCTGTCCGTGTGTGTGTGTGTGCCTTTATTGCGAGCATCCACCGCGCTAACCGGCTGACCAACGAAAAGACGTCAGTCTCAGTGCGGTTCAAAACACAAGACACTACATGCCATCAACTGGAACCCCGTGAGGGGGCGGCATGGGGGAGCCTAAGCTATTCTCTGAATGAAAGAGAGAAACGGTATAGGAACAGCAGAAAACTGCACGCGTCTACCAAGAAGGGTGCTTGCTACCTTGCACTCTACTTCGTTTTGGAATGCTTTCACCATCATCATCCTCCTTACTTTCACCACCATCATCATTTCTCATAATCATTGCTTTTCGGCAGTTCTTCTCTGGCCCTGCGTCGTTTGTTGTGGTGAAGGTCATCTGGCTCGAAGCTCTTGCTCTCCGTTCCACGCCATGATTCCCTCCTTGATTGTTGTGTTGGTCTTTGTGTGCGTCCAACCTGCACTATTGCGGGGCACCGCGGTGCCCAACCTGCACTATAGCGGGACCTCCCTCAATAGTGCAGGACCTGCACTATTGAGAGCGCTGTCTGTGTCCAAAGATTTTACCTACACTATACCGGACATCTGCACTATTTAACGTGCGCTATTCCGGGCCCCCCTCTGTATCGATCCTGGGAGTGTGTCATCTTGTGCAAACATGTCACCAAGAGCGATGGGGGAAGGGGGGCAAGAAAAAAGACGGGTAAATGCGGTGGAGCGCTCCCTCTCACCTCCTGCGGCTCGTGCCTCCCCCCGTCCCATGTCTCGAGGTTCCGCCAGTCCGACACCTGGCAGAACGCTTTCGATTGAGGCGCGTCCATCGACTCGAAGGCCGCGGTCTCCTCATACCAACCGAACGAGCTGCGTACAGCAGCGACCAACGCGGCCGGGACGCGAGTGGAGAGCGGAGGGGGGATGCAGTGGCAAAAAAAGCGTTTAGTGCCGATATGTATGGCGTCCCCAAAGATGCTAAATTCAAAAACACTCCCACAAACACACACATTTTGATAACGTTTACTTCGTACTCCGTAAAACACAACACTGGGCCAATGTGTGTGTTTTCATCTTATATATTATGGCGACAGTCCCCCCATTTTTCGTGGTGAGACGTGTACTACACTCTTCAGTGTATTTTTCCATACAGCTATAACCATCCAGGGTCACACAGGAGGGGGTAAACACCAGGGCTCTTTTCTTCTTTTTATTTCTTTTCATGCCCCACCTTCCCTCTGCGGTGCGTGCTGAATTTTTATTTTTATCGCGAGAAGGGTCCAGCCGTTCCTTTCCCTCGTCAACGGTGGTGACGTCGAAGTTTGGTACTCACGAGAGCTTGTAAGATACATTTCGCTTTCACTCGCAAATTTCGTAATTTTTTCACCCCATGGGGATTCGAACTCAAGACCTCTGCGACTAGCGGATTACGAGGATACCACTAGACCACCGGGGCGACCAATACTCTGTAAATAGTAATAACCTGGAGCCCGCACCCGAACCTGGCATTTTTTTTTTGTTCTTACAAGTAGACAATATATTCTAATCTCCCTATCGAAGTCTTCAACTTAACGGACGGCGCCAGCTCTCCACAGGGAATGCCAAGGGTGACTCTCACGCCAGGGTACATGCACAGACGGGCGAGCTATATGGCCACGACGGTCACTGAAAATACCCAGGCTACCAGACAAACGCCAGCCGGCGGATGCTGTGAGGTCGTCACTTTCATCTCCGGAAGGACGTGGGTGGCTCGGGGAGGCCAAGTTGGTCATCACACGGACACTGAATTAATTGCTCATCTAGCCCGGGCTCTTGGCTGTGGACGGGGTGAAAATTGTTGTGTTTTGGCAACTACCTGTGCGAAGATAATCATATCGGTGCGGGAAACCTGCAGCATTCTACCGCCCGGTCTACCTCCAAGGATGCAACGTTGCAGGCTTCCTGATAATATTGACGACTATGGACCTGTGCAAGACACCACTATGCGGCCAGTGACTCGTCGCTCGTTGCCGGCGCCCTCTCTGTATAAACTTCCAAGCAGTTTGCAACATATCCCACTATCAGAACATGGTATTCTTTCGAGTTCTAGAAAAGTGCATCACTCTTTGGGCAGTTAGTTGGCCTGTGACCTGTGACCACGGAAGGCGTTCGCGTCAGTTGGGCCGGCACGGATATTAGAAAGTAATGAGCAGGGATCGGTAACGACTTGCAGAGCAAGACGACGACCTAAAGGCAAGATGCATACCAAACGCGAGGCCGCCGCAAAACGGAGGGGTGGGTGCGAGCAAGCGAAACATGTTGGATCCTCCAACAAGCCCTCGGGGGCATTCAGGCAAGGGGAGAACCGCCGGCGGCATGCGAAGCAGGGGAGCAAGGTTTCGTGCAACCCAAAGCAAGACAAGGCCCCGACCCCTCGACTCGGAAGCTGAGCCAGACATGAATGAATGCCGGTCTGTCAGCAGAGCTATGTTACCCTTGGCGGTAACGTCGCAACTTCTGGGAAGTGGAGGTCTCCATGTCGGAACAAGATGCTGCTGTTGCTGCTGCCGCATCATCATCATACCCTCGACACGGTCTACGTCGCCCCGGTGGTCTCGTGGTATCCTCGTAATCCGCTAGTCGCAGAGGTCTTGAGTTCGAATCCCCATGGGGTGAAAAAATTTCGAAATGTGGGGGTGAAAGCGAAATGTAGCTGACAAGCTCTCGTGAGTACCAAACTTCGACGTTACCACCGTTGACGAGGGAAAGGGACGGCTGGACCCTTCTCGCGATATAAATAAAAAGTCAGCACGCACCGCAGGAGGAAGGTGGGGCATGAAAAGAAATAAAAAGAAAAAAAAGCCCTGGTGTTTACCCCCTCCTTTGTGACCCTGGATGGTTATAGTTGTACGAAAAAAAATACTGGAAAGTGTAGTACTCTACATACGCTGAAGTGTAGTACACGTCTCACCACGAAAAATGGGGGGACTGTCGCCATAATAAATAGGACGAAAACACACAAAACACGGCAACAACGTACAACATGAAGTGCACGCCAACTTCAAGTAGCACCTATTCACGGAGGGTGCACTTCATGGATACCTCAAACGGTGGTGTTTGGGATTTTAGAAATCATTCTGGTAATGAAATTAAGAGAGGAGGATGGATGCAAACAAAAAAAAACGAAAGGACTACTGCTGTGTCTTGCTGTGGCATTCATCACTTTCCTTCCCGTGCATACGGTGGTCGCCTCGAGGTTGCAGAACGAGGGTGCTGCAACAAAGAAATTTGTTTCCTGCTGCAACTTCTGATGAAATTCTTCTTCTGCCTGCTGTTGGACAGCAAGAGATGGCCCTACGGTTGACACTTTGCTGCGTTCTTGCATTTCATTTCAGAAAATCGTGACCCGCCGCTTAGAACGGGTGGGGGGTGACGAGGCGATTGCGCGCCGCCGCACGGTGCCAGTATTTGCATAACGCTGGCCCTATACCCTCCGTCGCCAAAACCACGGCCATTTCCGCTGTCTTTATCGCTATCTTGTCCAGCCAACACATTGTCAACTTTCAACAGAGCCTGAGAACATGTCGGTCAACATGCGAAGCAGGTGGTGAGCTGCGGTGGATTGGAGACGGGGAAGGGGCTTCCGAGCTGTTGTCAACTAAATAATGGTACTGCTGAACGTCATCGCTATCATACAACGGCGTCGGGCAACGGGACTGATCATAGCTCGTGATGCGCATGAAGTTCGCTCCGCTAAAATTGCTCCTTGTGTGCGTTACTGCTGTAGCACGGATACTGTATAAGATATAGTAGCTGTCGCTAAAACGAGCGACAGCTGATAGATGTAACTGTCGTCAGACGTGTGCGTCCGCGGGAGGTGGAAGAGACCCTTTCTTCTTCTTTTTCTCTTTGCAATTCACGTCATTGGTTACCCGCGACGGCGCTGAAGACGCCCATGTCCGTGTACTTGACCCTCGTACTCTGTGCTAACTCCCCAAGTCTAACCTCTTCCTGCAGCCTAGCCTTCATCGTCGGCGAATTTCCAAGGTTACCAATCCTGTCGAAACTCATGGGCTCTACCATGAGGTCCACAAGTCTCTTCGCCCTACTGAGACAGACGAAAGTAAGCCCCGTGCAGGCCTCCTTGGGCCCCAAGTCAATGACGGCCTTGGCTAAAGTCTGCCCCTGGGACTTGTGCATCGTAATTGCCCAGCAGAGCCTAAGGGGCAGCTGCGTCCTGACCTGCGTCCCCCCGTCCTGCCAGGTGGTGTCGACGGGAGAAATAGGGACACAACGTCTATACCTCTCCTGAGACGACCATTCCCCCCCCGAGTACCCTTCAAACTTGACGACAACGTAAAGGGGGAGCTTCGGCGGGGGCGCATCATCTGCGCACACCAACTCG